GTAAATCGAAGAGATAATACATTTTAGAGCATATAGACCGAATGTTAGGAAATGCATGAGTCTGTAATAAGAAGATGAATCCACGAGAATGTCAGCTACAATCCAAGAAAACTGGGTGGGACTTTCGGAAACAGTTCTAAATTGGTTTGAATCCTACTTAAAGGACAGAAAAAAACGTTGTTTCTATAGGTAAATACACATCTGAGTTGACAAATATGACATGTGGGGTACCTCAAGGCTCCATCTTGGGGCCTCTTCTCTTTAACATCTACATGCTACCACTGGCTCAGATAATGAAAAACAACAAAATAAGTTACCATAGCTATGCGGATGACACACACATTTACATAACAATTTCACCAGGAGACTATGCTCCAATTCAAACACTGAGTAAGTACATTGAACAAATCAATGACTGGATGTGTCAGAACTTTCTCCAATTAAACATAGATAAAACTGAGGTAATGGTTTTTGGAGCCAAGGCAGAACGTATAAAAGTTAGCGCTGAGCTTCAGTCTGCAATGTTCAAAACAACAGATAAAGCCAGAAATCTAGGTGTAGTCATGGACTCTGACCTGAGTTTCAACAGTCACATTAAAACAGTTACTAAATCAGCCTACTATCACCTAAAGAATATATCTAGGATTAAAAGACTAATGTCACAGCAGGATTTGGAAAAACTTGTCCATGCTTTTATCTTCAGTAGACTGGACTACTGTAATGGTGTCTTTACAGGTCTCACTAAAAAATCTATTAGAAAGCTGCAGCTGATTCAGAACGCCGCTGCTCGAGTCCTCACTAACACTAAGAAAGTGGATCACATCACTCCTGTTCTGAAGTCTTTACACTGGCTTCCTGTGTGTCAAAGAATAGATTTCAAAAATACTGCTGCTGGTTTATAAAGCTTTGAATGGTTTAGGCCCAAAATACATTTCTGACTTCCTGCTAAATTATGAACCATCCAGATCTCTCAGGTCTTCAGGGACTGGTCAGCTTTCTGTCCCCAGAGTCAGAACTAAACATGGTAAAGCAGCGTTCAGTTATTATGCTCCAAATATCTGGAACAAACTCCCAGAAACCTGCAGGTCCGCTGCAACTCTGACTACTTTTAAATCCAGGCTGAAGACTTTTCTTTTTGCCGCTGCTTTTAATTGAACTATTCATATCTTAAACTGCACTGTAACTTGTATCCATGTATTTTTTCTTTTAATGTTTCTTTTATTATCTTTTCTTTTTAATGACTGATTTTAAATGCCATTTTCTGAATGTCTTTCGTTTTTTGTAAAGCACCTTGAATTGCCTAGTGTTGAAAGGTGCTATATAAATAAACTTGCCTTGCCTTGCCTCATGGCTCTGTCCTCGGTCCCCTCCTCTTATCTCTGTACACAAACTTGCTCGGATCTGTCATTAGCCCGCATGGTTTTTCATACCACTGCTATGCTGACGACACCCGTTCTGAAACCCAGGTTGTCGCACGTATCTCTGCCTGTCTAGCGGACATCTCTCGTGGATGTCTGCTCACCACCTCAAGCTCAACCTGGACAAGACTGAACTGCTATTTCTTCCGGGAAAAGATTGTCCCACTCTTGACCTAACAATCAACATCGGCCCCTCTGTTGTTTCCCCGAGTCAGACTGCAAGGAATCTGGGTGTGACCCTTGATAACAACCTGTCCTTCACTGCAAACATCTCTGCTACAACCCGCTGCTGCAACCCGCTGCTGCAGATACACTCTTTACAACATCAGGAGGACACGTCCCCTCCTGACCCAGAAAGCGACGCAGTTTCTGGTCCAGGCTCTCGTCACGCCTAGACTACTGCAACTCCCTCCTGGCTGGTCTACCTGCATGTGCCATCCGACCTCTGCAGCTCATCCAGAATGCAGCAGCTTGTCTGGTCTTCAACCTTCCAACATTTTACCACACCACGCCGCTCCTCCGCTCCCTTCACTGGCACAGTAATTGCTAGAATCCACTTCATAATATGAGAGGCCGTCTAGCTCACAACTCATACTTGGTCTTACAAACAATATCAGAATATCACACATACACCATTAAACTCTTTTATACATATTGCTAAACACTTTTACACGCAAAATACATACTCTCTTTCACACACTTTTGTCTGGGCCATAAATCAAACTTACTTACATACCAAACTGTACTTTCTCAGAAACACTATTATTCCCACTTATAGACAACATCATACTACAGTATAATACTCTAGTAGTGTATGCAAGATAGAAAACTTTGTATGTGAGAGAGGAATTGTAGTATGTATGAGGGTATAGTAGTGTTTGTGAGAGAGAGAATGATAGTGTATGTGAGAGAGGAATTGTAGTATGTATGAGGGTATAGTAGTGTGTGTGAGAGAGAGAATGATAGTGTATGTGAGAGGAAGTGTAGTATGTATGAGGGTATAGTAGTGTGTGTGTGTGTGTGTGTGTGTGTGTGTGTGTGTGTGTGTGAGAGAGAATGATAGTGTATGTGAAAGACTATGCTTGTGTTTTTGAGAGCTTATGACAGTTTATGTGAGAGGACATTGTACTGGTTGTGAGAGAGTATACTTTAAAAGGAAGTCAGGTTGATCCAACAGAAAGCCAGTTTAAATATGAATTCCTTGACTGGTTTACAGCCTTGAAAACAAAGCCTGAAGCTGCTCAGAGCACTGCTGGCTAAATTTGAGCTACAATAAGAACTTTTGGTAACACTTTATATTAAGGTACACAAATTCACCATCAACTAGTCATTAATTAACATGCATATTAGCAGTATATTGGCTCTTTATTGGTCATTATAAAACACTTATTAATGCCTTATTCTACATGACCATATTCTACAAGTAATAGGCCATTAGTTGAGAGTTTTTCCTCAATAACCCTCTAATTTGGTGCTTATTTATTGCAAGTAAGGAAGTTGTTTGGTCTTAATATGCTCAATATTGGCCTAATAAGGCAGTAGTACCAATAGTAATTCTCCCATAATAACACTTAAAAAATATGATCTATCCTTATGTAACAAGACATGCAACTATAGGCCTAAGTGTTAATTAAGTCTAAATCATTCAAAATTAGGTATTTATATCTAAGAACGTGTTCCCTATTTTAAAGTGAAGTCTTGTTCATAACAAATAAGCTAGTTCAATCAGGAGAGACGTGATGTATGGAATACATGTTTATTATCGGTCACATTATATAAATGAAACATAATGATGACAGTTTATAACAAGTGAATGAAATGGTGTTTTGGCGATTAGGCCCAGGTTTTGTAGGATATCATTCGGGAAGGGAAAGAACCGTTTCCGATGGGTCTAGACACTGGTGGTGGTGATAAGTGGTTAGGTCCGGTTGGAAGGGAGAAGGTTAAGCTTGGCCCTGAGTTGGAAGCAGGAGGCGAAAGGGTGGAGGAGGGTTGCGCGTTGACACCTGGAAGACAGCTGATAGAAAAGGGGAGAGCATATATAGAGGGATTAACAGGTGCGATAATTAGGCTTGTGAATGGAGGGAAGTGATAGGTTAGCTAAGGAGTGGCGCTCCCTGTCATCTAGTGAAGGGAGCGAGACTCGAGTATTGCCATGATGTGCAATACGGAGTGATAGGTCTTCCTGCCTGAACTTGCGCTAAGCTTCATTTCAATCAGGAGAGACGTGATGTATGGAATACATGTTTATTATCGGTCACATTATATAAATGAAACATAATTATGACAGTTTATCATTGAATGAAAGTGAATTAAATGGTGTTTGGCGATTAGGCCCAGGTTTTGTAGGATATCATTCGGGAAGGGAAAGAACCGTTTCCGATGAACCCCCAAAAGAAGTGAAGTATGAAGTACTAAACGTGAAGAAATCTTACCTTGTGGGATGCAGTGGAAATCTATGGATGAAATGAGAGGTTAATACATGTGGGAATTTAGACATACTGATGCCTCCCAGGCATCCTTCCTGGACGTACAGGGCTTCCTGGATGTACAGGGCACCCTGGACGTACAGGGCACCCTGGACGTACAGGGCATCCTGGACATACAGGGCGTCCTTGACATACAGGGCTTCCCGGACGTACGGGGCATCCTGGACGTACAGGGCATCCTGGACATACAGGGCGTCCCGGACATACGGGGCTTCCCGGACGTACGGGGCATCCTGGACATACAGGGCATCCTGGACATACAGGGCGTCCTGGACATACAGGGCGTCCTGGACATACAGGGCATCCCGGACGTACGGGGCGTCCTGAACATGCAGGGCTTCCCGGACGTGCGGGGCAACCTGACTTAGCAGGGACGGAGATGAGGAAGTTGTGGGTGATGGAAGACCACGTGATGCTTCTCATGAACGGCATGATGTCGCAGCACGGGGAGTGCGCTTTATTAATAATCCCGACCACTGATTGGTTGTCACAGAGTACTGAGATCCGCTTCCGGGGCCAGAGGTGACCCCACACGTGGCAGGCAACAGCGATCGGAAAGATCTCATGCAGAGCGGAGGAAGAGGCATGGCTGGGGAATGACGGAGGCCACAAGCCTGCGAACCACTCTCCCTGGAAGAAACCCCCAAAACCCACGGATGGGGCAGCGTCCGTAAATAATCTCATGGAGTCGGAGGAGTACACGAGGTCGTCGTAGAAGAAGGTGACGCCATTCCAGTGTGCGAGCAGGAGGGACCAAAACCGCAGGTCTGAGCGGCAGCCTTCATCTAGGAAGACGTGGTCATGGAGGTTTTCTGCAGCCGATGCTGTATCCAGGAGCCGGGAAATAAAAGAGCGCCCCTGAGGGATGATACGCATGGCGAAGTTGAGGTGCCCGAGCAGGGAGAGCAGCTGCTGCTTGGTGATAACTTGTTGCTCGCAGAAGGCTTTTGAGATGTCGCGAATGCGCTGCAGTTTGTCCGTGGGGAGAGACGCTTCCATGTCTACAGAGTCGAGTGTAATGCCCAAAAACTCCAGGCGTGTGGTGGGACCTAGCGTTTTCTCTTCTGAGAGGGGAACACCTAACTCCTGAAAGCATAGTTTGAGTTTTGCTAAAGAGGCGCCTGAGTTGTCCCGAGGGGGAAATCGTCCAATAAGTGAAGGACGGAGGGGATTCTGACGATGTTTAGGAGGATCCAGCAGAGGGCTTCGGAAAAATAATTAATGCAAGGGCTACTTCTGCACCCGAAGGTTAAACGGACAGCAAAGTAGAATTTGGACTCCCACCTGATACCGAACATGTGCCACTGAGATGGGTGAATGGGAATTATTTTGAACGCGTCGGTGATGTCTGCTTTGGAGAGCCGCGCTCCTTGCCCTGCGAATTTGATAAGCTTGATGGCATTATCGACTGAAGCGTAATGAAGCGAAAAATACTCTGGGGGAATAAGGCTATTGGTGCTGCAAAACGGACCAGCGCGAGGAGCGGACAGATCGAAAATGAGCCTTTTCTTCTCTGAGTATTTGCGTGTAGCGACCCCTATTGGGCTTGTCCGGAACACTGGGAACGGAGAGGAATGGAAAGGACCGATTAAATATCCTTTGTTGAGCTCTTTTTGAATGAGCTGAGAGACTATGGTGGGTTCTTTGGCGGCTGACTGCAGGTTTTTAGCCACTAAAGTCACTGAGGGGGGAGAAAGGACCCCTACCCTGAACCCTTGAGAGAGCCCTGACAAAAGATAATCAACGAACACGGGATTTGGGTGAGTCGAAAGCGCAGCTGCTAAGTGTGTGGTGTTAATGGGAGTCGAGGGGTGATGTTTTAAAAGGTTTTTCCACCACGTTGATTCTGGCGCGGGAAAGGGGGCCGGCGCCTGGGGCAAACTGAACTCGGGTGAGCATCCCTGCAGGTACTGCAAATGTGAAGAAAAGTACAATAAGGGTAAGAACACACGTTCTCATTAAAATAAACGCAAATCTTATTATCCCTTTGCTTGATCACCTGACGGTTTGGTTTATTGTTCCCGGAATACTGCATGGGGAAAACGCTAGACCCGGAGAGAGGCACTGAAGGGCAGAGCGGAGAAGTGTGGCCCTGCGCTCCGCAGCTAATGCACGAGACGACTTGTTGCCCGCCGGTAGCCATTACGAGCAGCTCGGATTGTTAACTGTGTTCTTATTCTCGCGTCCAGGAAAGAGAAGCTTAAAAAGGAGACTAAATGGAGTCTCTGAGATTGTTTCAAAATTGGTACTTTAATTAATAAAAAGTGTGGTAAAGTCACAAACAAGATATTGTCCGACAGAAAAGCAGCTGTCCCTGGCTCTCGCTAGCAGAAAAAGAGGCTGAACCCCTCAGGTCCGGTTGTTTATATATTTAGTGCGAATGCTGTTTACAGCATTCCACTATAGTACTTCAAATCTTTATTAGTGCGAATGCTGTTTACAGCATTCCACTATAGTACTTCAAATCTTTATTCTTCCCCTTATTATTAGTGCGAATGCTGTTTACAGCATTCCACTATAGTGCTTCAAATCTTTATTCTTCCCCTTATTATTAGTGCGAATGCTGTTTACAGCATTCCACTATAGTGCTTCAAATCTTTATTCTTCCCCTTATTATTATTAGTGCGAATGCTGTTTACAGCATTCCCACTATAGTACTTCAAATCTTTATTCTTCCCCTTATTAGTGCGAATGCTGTTTACAGCATTCCACTATAGTGCTTCAAATCTTTATTCTTCCCCTTATTAGTGCGAATGCTGTTTACAGCATTCCACTATAGTGCTTCAAATCTTTATTCTTCCCCTTATTATTATTAGTGCGAATGCTGTTTACAGCATTCCCACTATAGTGCTTCAAATCTTTATTCTTCCCCTTATTATTAGTGCGAATGCTGTTTACAGCATTCCACTATAGTGCTTCAAATCTTTATTCTTCCCCTTATTAGTGCGAATGCTGTTTACAGCATTCCCACTATAGTGCTTCAAATCTTTATTCTTCCCCTTATTATTATTAGTGCGAATGCTGTTTACAGCATTCCACTATAGTGCTTCAAATCTTTATTCTTCCCCTTATTATTAGTGCGAATGCTGTTTACAGCATTCCACTATAGTGCTTCAAATCTTTATTCTTCCCCTTATTAGTGCGAATGCTGTTTACAGCATTCCCACTATAGTACTTCAAATCTTTATTCTTCCCCTTATTAGTGCGAATGCTGTTTACAGCATTCCACTATAGTACTTCAAATCTTTATTCTTCCCCTTATTATTATTTCAGCCAATACTTTGGCACTCCATAACTTCAGCTTATTTTCAGCTACAGAAACCATTCAAATATTAAACTATTCAGCCTGTTCAGGAATCGATGGGAAACTTTCAACTTTTTCAAAATATTTCATACTTTTTGAAATATTCAGCTTTTTAAACTCTTTTTTTTAACATTGAAGTCAATGGGAAGAGCCTTCAAATCCACTTTTCCTACACTTTGCGCCAAATGCATCTCCTTCCACATAATTTCAGCCAGACACTTCATTCCAACTTTCAAATGATCACAATACCTTCAGCTATAAAACTTGTATAAAATAATTTTGATATCTTTTCAACTTTTTGAGATATTGAATTTAGTTTGGAGCTTGGTAGAGAGGCCTTTTTAAGATTTTTACATTAGAGTGGATGGAGCAGCTCATTAACTCTAGAGTGCTTTGATCTCAAAACAGAGTGCAGGACAGCTCAAAATTCTCCCCCAAAAATGTTTTAAACTTGCCATACTTCCCAAACCCTACACTCCTCAGACATATTTTTTCATGGAAAACGTAGGAAAACCTCTCCTAGCTTGTAAAATAAAGAAAAAATAAGAAAAAATATTAAAGAAAATGCCTCTTGAGGGCATTAAGTGACAAAAACGTTCAACATTCCTCCATTGAAGCCCATTGTAATTTCAGGCAGATATTTCCTCATGGTAGCAGCCGCACACCTTTAGTTAAACTGCCAAAAAGGCCACATTATTAAACCAAAACTACACAAAAATTACACTTCAGATACTCAACTTCCTTGACATGCTTCACGTTTTGAAATTTCACAGATATCTGTTACGGTTCTTCCACAAAACGTTCACATGTAAGAGGTTCATCTCTCATTCAGAACAATGGAAACCTGTGATCTCTACAGAGCTCGTTAGTTCAAATATAAACACCTGTGCAATGGAACACGATGATGTCATCACTCCAACTGCCATGCAGCAGACTTCAACAGTCCAGCTGTGAAGACGATTCGGGACAGTCTTGAGATTTCTCCAAATGCCGTTGCCATGGCAACACAATGCTCGCCTTGAAACACGGTTTTCTCATAGCTTCAGTGAAAATACTCCAAACAACCCAGAACTTCACAGGTTTGATAACGATGCAGCCATCAATGCATCTAAGCGTAGTATGGGGTGTCATCAAATGTCATCGCCATGGCGACAGACCACTCGCCATGAAACACGATGAGGCTGTAAGTCAAATCGACACTGTCCAATCGTCCCCCAATCTTCACTTGTATATCACCGGTCCATGCCTCAAGAGCTCTACGCCAAATCTGAGATCTCACCATATGCCGTTTCCATGGAAACGCATCCCTCGCCATACAACTTGATGTCGCTATAAGTCCAATGGACACGGTCCAATCGTCCCCCAATCTTCACTTGTATATCACCGGTCCATGCCTCCACAGCTCTACGCCAAATCTGAGATCTCACCATATGCCGTTTCCATGAAAACGCATCCCTCGCCATAAAATATGATGTCACTATAACTCCTATGCAAATGTTCAAAGAGTGCTCAATCTTCACATGTGTGCTAACAGTCCAGCCGTGAAGACATCTACGTGACAGTTTTGAGATTTCTTCAAATGCCGTTGCCATGGCAACACAATGCTCACCATGAAACACGGTTTTCTCATAACTTCAGTGAAAATACTCGAAATGGCCCAAAACTTCACAGGTTTGGTAACAATGCAGCCATCAACACATCTAAGAGTATTATGGGATGTCATCAAATGCCGTTGCCATGGCGACAGATCATTCACCATCAAGTTAGTTCAAAAGTTTCCCAAGCCTTTTTACTTTCTTTTCTCATCTTAATACAAATTCATTCACTACTACTTACATATGATATTTAACTCCTTCAGCCTATTTTCAGCTGCATAACCCATTCAACTATTACATTATTCAGCTATTTCAGGACATCAAGGCTATACATGTTGTTGTTTATACCTTTTTTAAACCTTTTCTTTTAAATATTCAGCTTTTTCTGCATTTTTTTAGCTAAAAGCAGCTACCATTCAGCTAATAACATATTCAGCTTTTTCTGCATTTTCAGCTAAATTCAGCCATAAATGTTCACAGTTTACAGCATTCGCACGCATTTTCTGCAAGAAATGCATTTTCTAGTTATTATTATTATTATTTCAGCCAATACTTTGGCTTTCCATAACTTCAGCTTATTTTCAGCTACAGAAACCATTCAAATATTAAACTATTCAGCCTGTTCAGGAATCGATGGGAAACCTTCAACTTTTTCAAAATATGTTATACTTTTTGAAATATTCAGCTTTTTAAGCTCTTTTTTTAACATTGAAGTCAATGGGAAGAGCCTTCAAATCAGCCAATACTTTAGCTCTCCATAACTTCAGCTTACTTTCGGCTACAGAAACCATTCAAATATTAAACTATTCAGCCTGTTCAGGAATCGATGGGAAACCTTCAACTTTTTCAAAATATTTCATACTTTTTGAAATATTCAGCTTTTTAAACTCTTTTTTTAACATTGAAGTCAATGGGAAGAGCCTTCAAATCAGCCAATACTTTAGCTCTCCATAACTTCAGCTTACTTTCGGCTACAGAAACCATTCAAATATTAAACTATTCAGCCTGTTCAGGAATCGATGGGAAACCTTCAACTTTTTCAAAATATTTCATACTTTTTGAAATATTAAGCTTTTTAAACTCTTTTTTTAACATTGAAGTCAATGGGAGATGCCTTCAAATCCTGTTTTCCTACACTTTGCGCCAAATGCATCTCCTTCCACATAATTTCAGCCAGACACTTCATTCCAACTTTCAAATGATCACAATACCTTCAGCTATAAAACTTGTATAAAATAATTTTGATATCTTTTCAACTTTTTGAGATATTGAATTTAGTTTGGAGCTTGGTAGAGAGGCATTTTTAAGATGTTTACATTAGAGTGGATGGAGCAGCTCATTAACTCTAGAGTGCTTTGATCTCAAAACAGAGTGCAGGACAGCTCAAAATTCTCCCCCAAAAATGTTTTAAACTTGCCATACTTCCCAAACCCTACACTCCTCAGACATATTTTTTCATGGAAAACGTAGGAAAACCTCTTCTAGCTTGTAAAATAAAGAAAAAATAAGAAAAAATATTAAAGAAAATGCCTCTTGAGGGCATTAAGTGACAAAAACGTTCAACATTCCTCCATTGAAGCCCATTGTAATTTCAGGCAGATATTTCCTCACGGTAGCAGCCGCACACCTTTAGTTAAACTGCCAAAAAGGCCACATTATTAAACCAAAACTACACAACAATTACACTTCAGATACTCAACTTCCTTGACATGCTTCACGTTTTGAAATTTCACAGATATCTGTTACGGTTCTTCCACAAAACGTTCACATGTAAGAGGTTCATCTCTCATTCAGAACAATGGAAACCTGTGATCTCTACAGAGCTCGTTAGTTCAAATATAAACACCTGTGTAATGGAACACGATGATGTCATCACTCCAACTGACATGCAGCAGACTTCAACAGTCCAGCTGTGAAGACGATTCGGGACAGTCTTGAGATTTCTCCAAATGCCGTTGCCATGGCAACACAATGCTCGCCTTGAAACACGGTTTTCTCATAGCTTCAGTGAAAATACTCCAAACAGCCCAGAACTTCACAGGTTTGATAAAGATGCAGCCATCAATGCATCTAAGCGTAGTATGGGGTGTCATCGCCATGGCGACAGACCACTCGCCATGAAACACGATGAGGCTGTAAGTCAAATCGACACTGTCCAATCGTCCCCCAATCTTCACTTGTATATCACCGGTCCATGCCTCAAGAGCTCTACGCCAAATCTGAGATCTCACCATATGCCGTTTCCATGGAAACGCATCCCTCGCC